CATGTGTCATCCTAGCGGGGACAGTATGCTTGGAAATAATATTTAATGTCTTCATATATATATATATATATATATATGACTTAATTAATATATTTAATTAGCTTAGTAATTAGTAAAGGTATTTTTAAAGTAATACCAGTTTATTTATTTTTACAGAATTATTGTAAAATTATAATAATATATTATACTAATATTATCAAATATTTCTAAAGCATAAATTAAATGCAGTGCAACAAATGTAATTGTTTTAAATGTTTAACAATTAGATTTTTTAAAATAATTTTTACAAACTATAAATATATTATTTGTTAATTTATCGTCATTTTACGTATAATTATCGTCATTTTACGTCATAATCTAATACTTTTTAATTATGGTACTTAGTAAGGGCCTCATTTTCTTTAAAGGAATAGTTCACCTAAAAATGAAAACCCTCAGGCCATCCAAGATGTAGATGAGTTTGTTTCTTCAAAACAGATTTGGAGAAATTTAGCATTGCATCACTTGCTCACCAATGGATCCTCTGCAGTGAATGGGTGCCGTCAGAAGTGAAAACAGTTTTGATGTGAAAAGACAGCAGGGTTTTGAGGACCATTATTTATTGTTATTATTATTATAATTATTATGACAATTAAGCACATTTTACTTTTGAGTTTATTTATTGTCATCATTCTCAGTATTCTCGATTATAATTGTCATCACATTATAAAAATGTTTTTTTCACATGAGCTACTGTAAAAATGGCCATTATGTGGTAACATTTAAATTATAAGGGCCTCATTTTCTTTAAAGGAATAGTTCACCTAAAAATGAAAACCCTCAGGCCATCCAAGATGTAGATGAGTTTGTTTCTTCAAAACAGATTTGGAGAAATTTAGCATTGCATCACTTGCTCACCAATGGATCCTCTGCAGTGAATGGGTGCCGTCAGAAGTGAAAACAGTTTTGATGTGAAAAGACAGCAGGGGATGATCTTTTTCAATGTATATTATGAATTATGGACTTTTTTAGCCATAAGTGACCGTTTAAAGTTAAATCGCCTTAATGATGCATTTTTTATTACAAACATGCAGCTTTTCACTTCACAAGACGTTAACTGATGTACTGGAGTCGTGTGAATTACTGATGTTTTTATCAGCTGTTTGGACGCTCATTCTGACGGCACCCATTCACTGCAGAGGATCCATTAGTGAGCATGTGATGTGATGCTAAATTTCTCTAAATCTGTTCTGATGAAGAACAAACTCATCTACATCTTGGATGGCCTGAGGGTGAGTATACATTTTCAGCAAATTTTCAATTTCGGGTGAACTATTCCTTTAAGAAAACATAATTTCTCAATTTAATTCCTTTTGGCTTTGGCCTGAAAATTGACCTGAGAAAATTGATGTTCTTGAACACTACAAATGCACCACAAGCTTCACCAGTAAAAGCAAAACCAGCATGCCAAGACTAAAAAACACATCACTGATGCATGATTATATTATTGTTTGCAGGAGAGTTAATGGTCTGAATTCACAGGTTACATACAGTCGGAGGCGGAGGAGGATTGATCAGGCGCTTCAAAACACAAGGAGTAAACACATACACACAAACACACACACCAAAGGCTCCGTCACTCGCGTGCTGGGTGAAGATTGATCGCTCGCACACACACAACAGGGGTCCCGCGGGGGGGGAGCCGTTTTCAGCCATCCAGCCTTATTGACAGCTGTGGAAATCTCTATGCACACACACACACACAATGCTGATTCATGTAAGTCCTTGAGCTTTGCAACATATAGTACCAGCAATCTCCGTTAGCCAGGACCCAATTATAGACAGTCCCAAACTATAGTGCTTAGCCCTGAGTTTCTGACGTGCCCGTCCAGTGTCTTTAGGCAATTAGGAGGCTTTGGTCGAGTCCGCACGGCACCGGTCAGCAATTAGTGCGTATTCATTTCAATACATTAATGGCGTTCATCGAGTGAGGTGAGAAGGGAGGACATTTGCATTGCACACTATCGGCATGTTGTAGAGATTAATTACCGTCGCATGTTTTCTAAATAGAAAAAAGTTATTGTAATCCAGTGTTGCATGTAAAATAAGTAGGACTCACTGCACAGCAGCAGCACTATAAAGAGAATACGTGATGCTGTTTTCGGTGGTGTTTAGATTGTGAAATGATGTTTCTGAACGCTGTGGATTTTGATAAAACACGCTAAACGTGTGCTGATCCAGTTTTCGCTCATGTAAGCAGCTCGGGTGTTACATCATTATATACTACAGGAGTGATTGAAGTATTTCCGTCCACAGCTTGAGAGGAAAGATTTTAAATTAAAAAGGAGATGAGAGAGTTTTGCTTGCCTCTATTTCCCTAAAAAATAACCGGCTCTCTGTGGTTCACATGATAAGCTATTAAGTTTCTATAACTAGCATGCTGTTTCTGCAGGAAAACCATCGATGTGGGTCTCATTAACACACACACAGAGGTGCTAAGAAAACAGTTTTCCGATTTACATTAGTCGTATTAAAGTAACATTTAGTAAACCTCCTTATGTGCGTAATTTGGTCTTCATTTAATAAAATCAAAAAGCAGGCAGCAAATGATAAATTGATACCGTTCTTATAATGTTGCTATGCAGCTGATAAGGCTATTAGATCTCTATGATATTCTGGTCTCTATATATGACTCTGATCGCTCCTTCAATATACACTGCTAGTCCAATTTTGGGGTCAGCATATTTTTTTTTTTTTTTTTAAAGAAATGAATACATTTATTCTGTAAGAACATGTCGATCAAAAGTGATTTAAAATGTTACACAGACTATTTCTCATGCAAATAAATGCTATTATTATTACCTTTCTATACATCAAAGAATCTTGTTTCCAGAAAAATATTAAAATATTAACTACAGGTGCATCTCAATAAATTAGAATGTCGTGGAAAAGTTCATTTATTTCAGTACAGTGAAAATGAAATGTTCTTGAGTACCAAATCAATATAACAGAGATTTTTGAAGGATCTCTGAAATTGTAATATTATTTTTACAGTATTATTGTTTGATTAAATAAATACATGCATTATCGAGCAGGCAAAAACTGTACATCAAAACACTATACATATACGTTAAATTAACGTCTCTTTAAATATAAAAATATTTTATTTTGTGGTGTATTTTTTATATTTTTCAATTTTAAGTAAAAAGAGATACATTTTTTAAATGTTAAATATGTAAATATTAAGAATAAATTTTTACTAAAATGTTAGCAAATTGATTAAGTGGTATCCACATGCTATAGAATATACAGCCTCTTATGTAATAAGAGTGTTGCTGTGCAACAAACATAACGATCTATTATGGAAGCTGTGCATTGAAATGGTAAACAGACCGAATATATATATATACTACAACAAGCCCAGTACTACCCAGTTCATAAAATATCTATATACTGTACAGGTGCATCTCAAAAAATTAGAATATCATGAAAAAGTTCTCTTTTTTTGTAACTTATTTCAAAAAGTGAAACTTTCATATATTCTAGATTCATTATATGTAAAGTAAAACATTTCAAACGTTTTTTTGTTGTTAATTTTGATGATTTGAGCTTACAGCTCATGAAAGTCAAAAATCCAGTTTCTCAAAATGTTAGAATATTTCCTAAGATCAATAAAAAAGAAAGAGGATTTGCAAAACAGAAAAGTTCAAGTTCTTTAAAGTATGATCATTTATGCTCTCAATACTTGCTCGGGGCTCCTTTAGCACAAACTCCAGCATCAGTGAGGTGTGGCATGGAAGCTATCAGCCTGTGGCACTGCTGAGGCACTATTGAGCCTTCAGCTCGGATCCACTGTTTCTTATCTTTTTCTTGAAAATATCCCATAGATTTCATATGGGGTTCAGGTCAGGCATGTAGGCTGGCCAATCAAGCACAGTAATATCATGGTCAGCAAACCACTTGGAAGTGATTTTGGCACTGTGGGCAGGTGCTAAAGTCCTCCTGGAAAAGGAAATCAACATCTCCATAAAGCTTGTCAGCAGATGAAAGCATAAAGTGCTCCAAAATCTCCTGGTAGACGGCTGCATTGACACTGGACTTGATAAAACACAATGGACCAAACACCAGCAGACGTCACGGCACCCCAAATCATCACTGACTTCAGCTGCAGACTGAGGAAGATCCTGAAACACACCAGCAAACCCTAAAACAGACAACAGTTTACAGATGTTTTTCAGTGGCAGCAGAACTATGACTAAACTTTTGGGTGAAACTTGTTTACTTTTTTCATACTTTTATTACTTGTGGAAAAACTTGAAACAATTTTAAATAAGTATAAAGAATGGCATTGGTTTTGTACATTTAATTTTTGTTTAACGTTATTAATAAAAATGTTGTTCAATTAGCATGTTTTTGTGTTTTGCTTTGGTACCGAAATTGGTACCGAGAACCGTGGATTTTCACTGGTATTGGTACCGAATACTGAAATTTTGGTACCGTGAC